CTAGGAGCGCGCCTCACGATTTTATTCGGTTCACGTCGATCGACTTGTCGAGAAAACTTTCGAAAAATACAAGGGAGAGAAGATTTGTGTGTGGGCACGAAAGGTAATGTTTCTTTACAATTCTAGCTTTTTATAGTTCGTTTCATTAGAATTTAAAAAGGTATTACGCGATGATATACATAAAATCGTAATTGGACGAAAGAATTTCTTTCTTCATTTGTATTCGAAATTAAATTATTCATACCAGTTGAATTTAATTCCATTTAATTTTTGAAACTAAACTATATTCCAAATATTTTCAAATAAAATATCATTTTTTTTTTCTAATTATAACTTTATTTTATTTTAGAGTTTATCGTAATAGGAAGATCAAACGACTTATTTTATAATTACAAACAGAGTGAACTTGCACTCGTTTCTGAAACACGCGACGAAAGAATATTTTTATCAGTCTCTAAAACGAATCGAAAAGTTATAATCTCTGAATTATCTGACAACATCAGTTTTCAAGGTAATCGTGATTTTTTGCACAAAGCAAATTCGGGATGAGAGATCGCGCAGTAAATCTGAAGAGTCATCATTATTTAGAAATTAAGCAATTTTAAGCTTCAACAAGTGATCCATCTCGACTCTGTCAAGATATATCTGTAAAATTTTGATTAATTCGATTATATTATCCTTTATGGAGCAATTTTCAAGTTTACTATAATATTTATTGAAATAAATTTAACATTCTTTCCTCCAATTTTTAGGTTTAACATCTACATATAATATCTCGATGTTATTTTTATCATCCAGATTCGTATTATTTGAAATTCAATTTCATTGGTTCAATAATTTATTATATTGGAAAGATGAAAAGAAAATAGATTGGGATCAGATAAAAACAAAACTGCTTCCAATAAATACGATAAATAAGAAAAATAGGAGATTATTTTAAAATTATTATAAAGTTATTTCAATCGTCGATCGACTAGAAATTTCCACGAATGCGAAGCCGAAGATTTCAAAATAATACGTGAAATAATACGTGAAATAATAATTACGAAACGTTCGTTTGATCGTATATCTTGTTATATTCCAGAGAAAATGTCGTGAAAAGCGGTACGATCACGCATCTCCAATGAAAAATTTCCCGTGGCATAATGAAATATATATTTATATCCCTGTATATGACTGCGCGAGGCGTATAATCTAAACAGACGCGTGAAGAATTCCATCTTCTGGCTTCCTTGACATGGATAAAAAAAAGAACGTTCGTTTTTAAACGACGCTTAAGAAAATTCTAATTTTTTTTCCGCTTCGATAAATTTTATTCCCCTCTCTTCTAGCTACTTCCAGTTTGGAAAATAAATGGAAAATCGGGGGATTCCAGGATGGAATCGATACGAATGGTAATCTTGTTTGGTTTCCATCCTTTCAACAAATTCGCCAATTATTTTTTTCGCTCGCGAATCGAATGAATTGTCGTGAAATCCAATAATTTCACGACGCAACAAATTGTTCCGTATTAACAATAATTGTGCTATAGAAAATTGTGTCTAATTAATTTCGATTTTCTGTATCGAGTATAATATTCGTGAAATATTTCGAAACGAAAATGATTCAATGCGTAATATTTAGCAAGCAGTCATATGTGGTTATAAGAATGTTTGTGCATAATTGTTTCCTCTAATTAGAAATACGATGAGAAATAAAGATCGAATGAAAAATGTTTCGATGAATTCTTTTCAGAGAATTAGGTAAACAATAGTAAACAATATTATTTCAGAAAATGATTAAAATAAAAGCGTGTTTGTATCCCAACAAAAAATTTGAATCGAAAATTTTATTTTATTTATTAGATGAATAGAAGGTTACTGAATATTTAAAATTGAATTTTTACTGTTTCGAGAATTGGAAATCCTTTTTTTCTACGAAATCATTTTCTGAAGCTTATTACATTTAAAATTATTTCTCAGGGAAAATTTCAACTTCGATCATTCCATATCACGACGAAGAAAAAAAAATCTAAACAAGATAAAGATTGAGATATATCCACTGAATAACATCTCAGAGATATCGTAAGACCTCCTCTAAAAGGATCCTCTCCCTCTAGGGAGGCTCTCTCGATAAAGCCAACTAAGCTATCTAAACACCTCTTCTCTCCCTATCTTCTCCATTCGATCAATTCGAATCCACTAAACCTCGCCAAATCCAACGTGAACGATTCCTAATTATCCACCACTTTGCCTCTTAATAATTCACACATTGCCTCCCCTTGTTTCTAGCAAACTGTACATATTGATAATCTCATCGTAGATGAGAAAAACAGAAAAATAATTTTTATGAAAAAATTAATCTTTCATCGATAAATCATAAAGCAATGATGAAAATTCTCGAAGCCTGAAATATCATAGTCTCATCGACAAAAGAAAGTAACAATTCGAACGAAAATTTTTTTTCTTGATCAAAAACAAACAGATTCAGCAAATCACCGAGACATCCATTTAATTACAAAATTAACAACAAACTTCAACAACAATTTCGACGAAAAGAAAGCAGGAATCAAAACGAAAGACTACCGGAAGATCGCGAAAATTATCAAAGCGTCGTCAACGAATCGCCAGAAGAAGGAACTAATTTTAACAAAAGGGGAAGAAAAGACGAATCAAATAATAATCTCGAGCGATTAAACAAATAAATAAATAAACGCGGCCTGTTTTCCCTGCGGGACAAGAGAGACGGGCCGGCCATATCGATCTCCGGAGAGGCGAAGATCGCCCTGCATGAGGCTTTCGAGTGGGGCTTCAGGGCCGTAACCACGGGGCTCGACGCCACCTGCCACGACCTTGACCTAGGGGGTTCCTCTCGCGCCGGCGTCGCATCCTCCCCTTTTCTCTCTGTCCACCTTCTCGCGCGAGAACCTTCTCCCATCCCTCTTCCAACAACAAACCTTGCGCCGAGGAACCTTGGGATCCCTCCGTTCTCCATCCTCGCCACTTTCTCCTCCGCCTCCTCCTTCCGCGCCGTTTATTTATCATCGCGATCCTCCTCAGTGCGCTTTTATTTACATTTTCAATTGTGTCGCCAATTTTCGAATTCCATCGAATTAATCATCCAGAATTACGGATTTTTTCTTTCTATCTTTGCCCTTCCCTTTATCGCGAAATATTCTCCACTTTTTCCTCCTGCGCTTTTATTTACATTTTCCCTTTCAATTTAAAAATTCAATTAATTCAATTAATCTTCTTCTCCACGATCTATTATTAATTTTCATTGAAGGTTGTTTCAGATATTCCCTTGCTGATGGTAAATCGAAACTGTTTCTAAAAAATATATAAAAATTTTATACACAGAACAAATTTTAATTTTAATATATAAATATGTTCAGTTAATAATTAAATTGTGTCGCCAATTTTCGAATCATCCAGAATTACGGTTTATCTATCGTTGTATTATTGTTTTTTGAGGTGAGCTTTCATTTCTTTCTATCTTTGCCCTTCCCTTTATCGCGAAATATTCTGGATTTTTTCCTTCTGTACGTTCGTTTTATTTATATTTTCAATTGTGTCGCCAATTTTCGAATCATCCAGAATTACGGTTTATCTATCGTTGTATTATTGTTTCTATCTTTACCCTTTCCTTTACCGCGAAATTCTGCAATTTTTCCTTCTATGCGCTCATTTTATTTACATTTTCCCTTCCCCTCCAATTGTGTCACCAATTTTCAACAATTAATTATCCAAAATTACGGATTACAGTTTATCTATCGTCGTTTAAAGTTTTTAGAAAGTAATACCTTTCCTTCTTTCTTCCTATTTCTGCCCTCCCCCTTGTCGGCGAAATTTCGCTGGTTCTGCACTTTTTCCTCCTTCGACCAATTGTTCACCCCTGGTTAGCCAGGACCTTCAATTCGACGTTTCGTGTCGTTGCCACGGCTCGAGCCGTTTTATCGATTCTTTTTTTTTTCCCCCTTTCTTTCTTTCTTTCTTTTCTTCTTTACTCGCAACGTCCACCCTTTGTTTCCACGCGAATCCTAATTTCGGGCTGTTATTAAAATTTCTTCCACTTGTCCGACTGATTATCATTTGAATTTTGTATAATTTCCAACGAGAGAGAGCTCGATTTTTTCTCCTCCCCTCTCCTCTTAATAATTCCGTAATTAATAAGGAAAGGATATAATTAACAAGGCGAGTTTTTCTTCTTCTTGAAAAGGCTTCGAACTGAAGCCCTCGATTCTCGAAATGTTTCCTTCGAAATGCTTCCTTTCCGTTATCAGGGACGAGAAAAACGAGCTCGAGAAACTTTTCGAGGTTTTCCTTTTTCGCCTTTTCGCAGTTAATCCGATGGATACTCCCTCTCTCCATCTATGCTCTTGTTCCCATCTTGATAGTTGAAGCAATTTTGCACGGATTAAGTCGATATAGGAACGATCTCTTAAACCTCTTCCATATTAAACGCGAAATTAAGGATTTGCTCAACGATATATTAACTAAAGAAACTAGGGAACACGATACGAGAGATTTTTAAAAATTAGAAAAGGAAAGTTTCTAATAACAACTCTCATAAAACTCCCCCCTATAAGTAAACATATCCAATTTATATTATAATACACCCTTTCAAACAACCCCAATAACCCTAATTCAAGCCACCCCGAAAAACAATAAATCCCAAAAATCCTCCCTCCCTACATTATCAACCCACCTATATCCATCGATCATAATAATTCGACGATAATTCGAGAGTAATCGAGCATAATCGTCCACGCGAAAGGAGGAGGAGGAGGGAGGATTCCTCTTCGTCCAACCGAGTGCTGGACCCCTCTTCTCCCTCCCTCCACGAGCAGATACACGGTCGTCGTATCCATCCATCCCCACCGGCGTAGCTACCCCCTCCCCCCGAGCACGCCGCACGCCTCGACCGTCCTCCTCGCGACTGGGAACCCCAGTCGCGGTCCGAACTTCCCCGAGGAGAGAGACCCCTCCCCCCTGGCGGTGGTTCATACCCTGGACAACTGGGAGAGGCGAGACACGAGACCACTTTGGCCATGAGACCGCTCTTCGAACCATGCAGGTGGGTGACCCTCATGCGGATGGGTCTGAAAACCCAGGAGGGTGCTTTTCTTGCCACGAAATTTTTGAGGGGGATCGAAATTTTCGAGGTGCAGCGATTTATATATGAGTTCTCGGGAGGGTAGAATTGTTGTTGTTGCTTTTGTTATTGGAGGGTGATTTGTTATATATTAAGAGGAAGGTTTGCAATGGTGTGAAGTTGTTGTTGGCTTGGGGGAAAAAGGGTGTCGTTTCGAGATGACAAGGTAACGGAGAGATTTATACGAATTATATGTGAGAATTATATTGGAGAAATGATTTGTATAAGTTCTTTTTTTAGGGGAGGGAGAATAAAAATTCTTTTTTGGTTGGTAATTAATTAATTAAGGGAATGGTTGTTGAATAACAACCACTGGTCGTGTACGACCCAGGTCATTTATAATCTCAACGTTTCCATAAACGCATAAATTTCCGCAAATTACTGGTATTTTCCCTTTTTCTTTCTTTTTCTCTTTTTTTTTTTGCAATTTTTATGACCAGTTTTCCCCTCTTTGGCGCGTGTTACGGCATTTTAAATTCAGTTCGTGGAAAAACCGCATTATTTACGAGCTAATATATTCGAGGGTGAACAAAGGGGTGGATTTTCCTTTCTAATTTAATCGAGAGGGAGCGGATTAAGTTTTGAAAGAGTCGGAATATAATTTACGTCTTCTCCCGTTTCTTGACGGATAATGTCCAAAGGAAGTATTTGTTACGAGGCTTCCTGTAATTAAATTGTTAATAATTCGTGACTGTCCAAAGTTTGGCCGAGTTTGCCTGCCTCGTTCCCGATTCAAACCTTCGTTAACCACGAATTTACGAATAGTCATCTTTCACTGAAATGAATGAAACAATCCCTTCCCTAGAAAGCTATCTTCGATATTTTAAATTTAAAAATCATTCAATCAATTTCACTTCCTCGACTCGATTATTTCCAAATTATTTCATTAAACTCGATCTGCTTCGAGCTTCACATTTGCTGTTTATCGGGGAAAAATTCGAGAGGGAAGAAGTATATATACTTCTCTTACTCGAAGAGAAAATTTCAGATTCCTTTCGAATTTCCTCCTTTCCCCTTAATTTTGCCCGAACACGGGTGCACGGATTTGATGAATAAAAGGGGATATAACACCGGTTATAATGAGATCCTTCCCTCGTCGACAAACGAGGGAAATAGCGCGTCGATGCCTCGCGTTCCTTTTCAAAACCCGCCAGGCGTCAATGATGAGAGGGTAAGAGTGTAAATGACACTTTTGATTAATCTTTTTTTCATTTTTTCCAAACGTATCTGCCCTCGTTCCGGATAAATATTTTTATCGTGGAAGAGGGGTTGTCGTTTGAATCGAAAAATAATTTTCATATTGAAAAAAGAGGAGGAGAGAAATTATAATAATGAAAATTCGAAAAAAAATTTTCGAATCTGGACAAAAAGTTAATTCATGTCAGTTAGTTATAACTTTTCTATTAGTATCAACCCCCTTCCTGTAATATAATAACAAACTTTCTGATCGCCATTTACGCGACAGAATTAATAATAGAAGTTTAGCCCGTTGAAAATTTCATTTCACCTTTTTGAGAAAAGAAAGAAAGAAAGAAAGAAAGAAAGAAACTTTTAATAAAAAAGAAAAAGGACAAACGCTATATAAGGCGTGAAAACTCTTGCTAAAACTTATATTATATAATATATTATCATTTGAAAAATTAATCGAAATTTATCCAGCCGAAGAAGGATCTAATATGGAGGGAAAGCAACACCCTTTCCTTCCCCCCATTTCTTCATCGACCGTGTATCGTGTCAAGGCTGAACGTGCCTACATCTCTCAGTCACGGTCACGAACGTGGCCGTGTGTCTGCTCGCAATTCGCGATTATGGCCTCGCCCTCCAACCACCCGCTTTCCACAAATTTTTAATGGATTGCGCGAATTACTTCCCCTCCTTCGTCTGCCTTTCACGGATAATTTGCTAATCTTATATCCTTTTTTTTTTTCTTCTCGAGGGGTCGTTGGAAATGGTAATTAGTTTGAAGGTATCGGGGTGTTTGAGCTTCGAGTTAAGCCTCTTTCGAAGTAATTTCGAGGGGGGAATGTAATATTTTGAGGATTGATAACGCTTTGAAATTTCGATTTTATCAAAAGAGTGAGATTGAAAATTAGAAATTGTGAGTTCTTTGGATTTAAATAAAGTTGGAAATTTTAGTGATAATTTCTTTCCATCGAACGAAACGTGAAATTAAACAAAGTGCGATTGCAGTATATAAATTACTCCACTTTGTAAGCGAAGAGAAATATGTAGTCGAGGAGACCGTTTAATTTGCATTATTCAACCGGACATGAAATTCGTTCAACAACAGAGTTCGTAACAACATGTTGAACAAACGATTCTTATCTGAAACGACCGTTAAAGTTTTCCCTCGAAATATCCTGTATAGCGAAATTCGTTACGTCCGCAATTTTAAATTAATTGCACGGCGTAATCTTTCTTAAAGCCGGATCGATGATAACGCAGCTGAAAATGATATTCGGTGGTAGATGCAGATTTTTCAATATTCCCATCGGGATCGAATTCATTAATTTCACGGGTTTTCAATTCCTAATGAACGTTACTGATTTTTTAGATTTTTTTTTTTTAATATGAAAATGAACAGGGATTAATTAAATCTCAGGGATCTCGAATTTAAGAAATTTAAGAATTTAAAAATCAGAAATATAATAATATAATATAAGATAAAAAATAATTCGAAAATAATTCTTCCTTTCGTTTAACGTCATTAAATCAGAAACGAAAGATAAAAGCAACAAATATATATATATATATATATATATATATACACATGTTAATACAATGGCGCGGTAAAGAGAATAAAATGAATAGCTTCGCGAAGAAAAATTCTCGTGAATACGTTTTATTGCAAAAATACATTTCTCTCGTATCAATTCACTCGTGTATTCGCATTAAGCTACGCGGATCGTTGAAAAAAAATATATATATCGAAGAAAAATTTCGTTGTGAACGCTTGAAAAGAAAGAAAGAAAGAAAAGATACATAAGGAGAATAGAATATTTCATAATGGGGCGCGATATCCGCACATCTGATTTTCGTTCAAATTATGACCACGAGTTATACTTGTGCGACATACGAAATTCTTTTTAAAAAACCGGTTACAACCATACATACATATCTCGTTCTTCTGGTTCTAAATATTTTCATTGTCGATCGCGTTATTTTTCTTTTCTTTTTCTTTTTAATTCGAATAAAAAAAATTTCTCCATTTCGTAGATCCAGATATTCCAAGGGTTTGCATTTGCATGATAATAAGGAGTTAAAATATTCAACGAGCCTTCGGACTAATTGCCGGAAAGGTGTCCCATGAATTTTGAAAGGATTCGATAAATATTTAAACGAGTTAATCGAGTTACAGTTTCCTGTTTGCTTCCAGTGCGAAAATATGGAAAGAACTTCTATCATGTGATTACGAGCTCGTGAGCTGTGCTAGTGCTGCGTGTGTGTGTGTATATAATAAAATTCATATTTCCAGCCTACACAGCCTTGTTCTCGCGTGGCTTGCAAAAAATTAAACGTGAATGGTTATAAAGCCCATAAAAGAAAGAAAGAAAGAAAGAAAGAAAGAAAAGAAAAGAAAAACTAAGTAGATTCTTCAAGGTTTCGAGGCTTTATAGATATTATAAAAACGCTCCATAAAATGTTTAACGCGAATTTCAACAGCCGCTATCCTTAACGACGTTTCGGTGGTCGTGCAATTTCAGTGAAAATTTAGACAATCTCTGGATCCAACCCAACCTTCTGGAAAAGGGGG